AGATGAGGTTACAATGAATAAAAAGTGCTCTCTGAGTGTATCTCTTTGAAGATATCTGCACTCCGCAGCTCGAAGAGTCAATGCAGACAAGCAGCTGAGGGAACAGGCAGGAAGCTGTACCTACACACTGCAGTGTTGGGCTGGAAACCATCTAAGTTTCCAAAAGCAAAGCTGAGAATGCTTCTCTTTCATTAGGTGGATAAGCCTGCAAAAAATAAACAAAGGTTAAAAGTTAAGCTAAATTACACTCACATCTGGCAAATAAGGTCTGACTGGTTGCTGGACAACTGGAACAATACAGAAGACCAGGCCTTCTTTCATAGCCCATTCAGATTTTGAGCCATCTAATTTGAACACACACACACATACACACACACACACACACACCATGCAGCACTCAATGAGGGTGAAAGAAAGCCCAAAGAACTAGTGCTGACAGACTTAGGATGAATGTTGGAAATGTAGGAAGTCTGACAAGGTGTGGAAAGAACCCAACTCTGCTCAGCAATGGAAGTGCAGCAATACTGCTACAAACCTTAGGAGGTTCTGAAAAGTTACACTGCTATTCAAGTAAGTTGGCCCAGATTGTTCAGGGCTGGAAGGATCCATGGGATGAATCTTAACATCCCTTAAGCCAGGAAGGTGTCCTAGTTGTCATCATAGAACACACCAGCCACTTACTAATGTTACTGAGTCGCTCCAGGGCCAACACCTACCACATATGAGCAGGACAGGAATTTTGACCTGCCTACTGAAGTCTCTGCCTCTCAGAAGTTCTGCACAGAGGGCACTAGACTGCTGTGGGCAGCATGGCACTGCATGGGAGCCCTCAGCCCAGTGCTACGATCTCAAATGAAAAACGAGCAGGAGGAAAAGTGTATCATTGCACTGTGCTGCTGCACGGGAAACACCTCAGATTTCATCTCTCGGCACAGGGACAAAAAGAGGCAAAGCTATATAGACAGAGAAGTATTTCAACAGTGGCATTTGGTCAAGACTAGTTGCTGCTGAACTCAATGACGTCTGCAGTGCCAGAAGCATATGGTCAGAGGCAAACTACACCAAATTGCTGTCACATGTGTGTAGCAATTTCAATAAATAAGCCACTGAGGAATGATATTAGGAGAGCTGAAATCACGGTGACCCTGTTCTGGCTCAGAGGCAGGAAGTGTGATCTTGCTGCACTCTCCTTTCCTCTTGTTGGACAAAGTAGCTCCTGATGAGGCACTCCTCAGTGCCAGAAGGGATGCATCACTTGCCGGCTGAGATCTCATGGAAACTGAAAGGAGCTGCAGCATCTCAGGTCAAACATTACAATCCACAGAAGGTTACCCAGAAAAGACAAAGCAGCATAGTTGTCTGGAGGCTGTTTGGCTGGCCTACTTTGAAGGGTGGTATCCAGAATTTTTCAAAGCTCAAAGGTTGACAGCCAGGTTTTTGCTGTCATCTGAGGTTCTGTACACGAGAGATACACTACCTCACTCAGCTGCGTTAAGAATGATGCGCTCTTTAAAAATCATGGAGAAACCTCTGGCTTTACACACTCTAAGGTTAAAATAAGAAAGTAGGCTGCAGCTGAGGAACATTTAGCAATGCAAATCAAGTATAGGAAACTTCGAGGAAAAATGTAAGTAGTAGGGAGCTTAGGTGAAGAAAAAGAGGCTGATGCACGGACTAGAGAATTTACTTTCCTTCACATTAGTGCTGGTTCTCTAGAGTTTGCAGGCAAGAAAGAGGACCGGACAAGCATACTGTTACAGTGAACTATCTAATATCAAGACCTGATCACAAAGCAGGTGGCACAAAGCAGTCTAACAATCAAATAAGTCTGTTGGAACTAAAATCCAGGGAAAGAAGCCAACATTTCAGGTGTTTGTTCCCAAGATACATAAAAGCTGTGCAATGACAGAATGGCAGTGTGGCACAAATGAGGAAAGGACCCTCTTTCAGCTACTTGCTGACATGTGTGAGTGATTGCAGGGCAGCAGATGTGATACAAGTTTATCCAGGTTCTGCTCTGCTGAGTAGGAAATCTATTGAGATTCTGCTGCCTGCTGAGGAGGAAAGACAGTATGCTCAGAAAATCTTCTTAAATCTCAGAGTGCTAATACTAGGTCTGTCTCCAGCTTTGTCAGAAGGTAGAAATAAAGACATTTTTTTCCTGCCTGTCAGTGAAGGTAAAAAAAAAAAGAAAAGAAAAGCACATGCCACAATAACTCAGGAATTTAGATGTTATACTCTCTGGTTTAAACAACTGGCAAAGTAAAGAATGGACCAAATAGGACCAGAGTTTAGGAGGGAGATGTATCTTTCAGGTCTCTGGGATTTGCTAGACAGTTCTCTGAGGCACATTTAGTGTTCTATCTATGGTCAAAGTTACACATCATCACCATTTGAGGTCCTTGGCTCTAACTATACCACAATCAACACATTGCATAATGCTTTACATGAAAGTTCCATGAGGTTTAAAAGAAGGCAGTAGCAGGAAGCAGAGATGGAAAACCTGTTGTTATGTACTGCTGTGAATTATTCCCATGCCTTTGGGCATTGTTCAAGGAGCTTAAAGTCAGACCTGAATCACACTACACATACACCCACAAATAACACACTACAAATACCCCATAGTGAAAAAAATTCCCCAAACCACCCAGAATACACTCATGAACACACAAATGGCACTGCTAACATGGAAATGTGCTGGTATACCATTTTTTACTCATGAATTCAAAATACTGCTCAGAAGACGGCTCACATATCTTATTAGATTACCCAAAAATTGGGCACTTCCTGTGCATTAAGACTACAACAACAGGACTCTAAGCAATCTCTGTAAGCAGCAAGTTGCTCAAACAATACTTTTCTCAATACCTAATTTCTCTGTGAAAGAAATGGGTGAAAAACCTCAACTTCTGCCTTGTAAAAAAGTGTATGTTTCTGAAGAGTTGTGATGGTAAGCACAGTGTGCTGCCTTGAACTGCTGTGCTCACATTTATGCTGCTAGATACATGTGGCAGCACTCCCCAAGGAGCTTTCAGCCGAGACAGTGTCCTTGTGGTCTGCTACGTGCATCAACACCCAACTCAGTCATTATTTTACGTTTTTAGCTATCTGCTTCAAAGCGTGTTTGCTTCCTCTACCTATTAGTCAGACACCTCATTTTACATGAAAAGCTTGCTTCTGGTCTTAAAAAAGTATCTTTGGACACTGAGTTATGTGAGCAGTAAGCAGATGGCCCCCTTTAGACCTATTGCAAACAAGTGACATGTAATTGTCACCTTTGGTTATATTGCAAAGAAACCACTATAAAATACAGCCTAGTGTCACAAAAGATCTTCAGTCTTTGAACACTCGATTTGCTTTAAAAGAAAGAAAACCTTTGCACACTACAATACATAAATACTTCCTTACTCTGAAATAGACTTAATTTCTATCTATGCCCTCTGCCTGTGCCATGGCTGACCTGCTAAAGCTGTTACAGACTGTGATGCCTATTAAAAAATCAAATGAAAACACAAATTTCGCCATTTCTCTGGGTTGACTCATACCTCTGAAAAAAGCCTGTTTATTTTAGATAACGGCTGATTTTTCTATTTATAATCCCATTTCAGCCTGAAACAGTTCCTCTCAAACATTGATTTCCACTGGAAACGTAACCCAGCAAGTTAAACTTCAGATTGCTCCATTCAAGACTTAAGCTTACAAATTTATGGTTTAAACTACATCTTTGTTTCACTCAAGCCTGCTATCACCATATTCACCTTTCCCAGTATTCCTTTTTAAAAGCTTGGGAGATGGTTTTCTAGCAAAACAAACAATGCATACAGGCTAATTTTCAGTTTCATCAAGCATGGCATTTTCACATTGTTCCTTTTCTTAGGGTTTCTACGTAACTCTTATTTTCCACCTTACTACTAAGAAATCTTACCTCCAAAAGCCCTTGATCCTGCTCAAAACTAAGGAATACTTCCCCTCAAACTTCTCCTGTATTCTTCTAGGAAATCCTAATATAAACTAGGAGTCTCCAAAACCAAAACTATTTGTGAGGTGAAGTTGGTGGAACTCAACCTATAGAAGTTTAGCTAACTTGTTGAAAAAAAACCTCCCAAAACTATAGCAGAATTTTACACAGTTTTTCCACTCAGAGTGCAAAAAGCATCTTAGAGTAGATGCAACAATGATGTTTAAGAAGAAAACTCATCTCTTCATAAATATTGTTGTTACAATGACAGAAGAGATGGTGCTTTTCATCTGGAAGATAACAGCCTTCATAGTGAATATCCATTCTGCCCTCTTTCTACTGAATAAATTTGATGTCTTTAAAAAAATAAAAAGATTGATAGATGCCTAATTGCTGCAGTAACAATATCATCTTAGGAAAAGGAATAAAGAAGTGATGTGATAATTGCAGGAAGCAGTAGTCTGATCAAGGAATACTTGTCAAAAGACAATTTGAAGAACAAAGCCAAAGGTAACAACTCCACAGTTTAAGCCATGAAACGTACTCTGAGTCAACTCCTGCTACAAAGATAAGTTACCATGGGCATTATAGAGGTCAGAAAAAAAACAACCCTCATGTCTTGAACAATATAGCTAGAATGCTACTTGATACAGCTGAGAAAAACAGACAGGAAGGTAAAAGGACTAGGAACTACAAAGATGAAATTAGCCATCTATAAACACAGTAACAATTTGCAACTTAAATCTGAATTAGTGTAGACCAGCATACCATAAGAACACACAGAAATAGGTCTGAATATCCGTACAGTAAGTTGCTTGATACACATCCCACACTCTCACTCAGCAGTAGTAGGGAAAAATGGGGAAGTAAACAACGAATAACAGAAGTGTTAGTACTCTAACTATTTAACTCCATTCATGAATATGAAGAAATATCTATATTTTAAATGTCATGCTAGGGTAAAGTTTCTAGAAAGACAATAATGCACAAAAACAATTCAGCAATTACAAGGAAATGTAAAAAGTGGGGTCAAACCGGCAAGATGAGTCAGTGTCAAGTGGAGTTTCGACTGGCAAAATATTCTTTCTGTAGAGCTTTGTAACATGGACCCCCTTTCAAGAATTTTGTTGAGTGTTACAAGGAAGCTGAAGAGGGACTCTTCATTAGAAACTTAGTGACACAAGTAGCAGTAATAAGTTCAAATGGAAAGAGGAGAAATTTAGGTTAGAAATTCTTCCCTGCGGGGGTAGTGAGATGGTGGAACAGGTTGCCCAGAGAAGTTGTCGGTGCCTCATGCCTGGCAGTGTTTAAGGCCAGTTTGGATGGGGCATTGAGCAACCTGATCTAGTGGAAGGTGATCCTGTCTATGGCAGAGGGGTGGAACTAGAATGGTCTCTAAGGTCCCTTCCAACACAAGCCATTCTATGTTTGTCCTGTTGACAGTCGAAGAGTAATTCCATAACACTTAGTATAATTACATTTTAATGAAATACTGAAATTCTTCCTAAAGTGTTACAAAGATATAATACATCTGTAATATAACTGTTAAGGCTCAACATTAAAATGAAAAGACTTAGTAAAAAATATAGATTAGAAGTTACTGCAGCAAAACAAAGTCATTGCAATTACATTTGTGGGTTTTTTTGTTGTGTTTTTTTTTAAAGAAAACCAGCAATATTGACTGGCACATACAGACAAGATAAAATACAGTGAGAGTTTTCTTCCTCCATACAGTATTCAATCAAACAGCACTGCAACAAACATTGATTGCATGCATAAGTGCAGAGAGAATTTTAAACTCTGCATATAGTACTGATTTCAGCTTTTGTACAGCCCCATTTGCAACACATTCCTGCCAAACCCAGAGACTCCCGTTTTCTTCTCGGAAGCCTGGCCCAAAGATAACTGCTTGATTCCATGGGATTTGCATTTCCTGTTCCTCCCCTGTCCTTTTGATCACCTTCCTCTACCTGGCGAACAAGTTCTTTGAAGTTGTCTGCCACAGGTACATATTCATTAAAGTAATTTAAACTATACAAGTCCTTAAATGTCTCCCATCCAAGAACTGGGCTGCTTCTCTGCAGCTGTTCCACTTCAGGATCTAAAACTGATTGCAGGTTGAAGCTTCCAAGTAGTTTGTTACTTGCTGTTTGCGCAGCACCTGTTTAAAGAGAAGACATTTTTAAGTTCACACTGTCGGAGCATTAAAAGAGCATACAATCCTAAGAAACAGCAATAAAACCTATTCAGTTAGTATCAAGTGAAGTACTATTATCAGGCACTTCAGAGTCTCCACACTATGCCTTACTTGTAGCTTACTTTTAGTGCAATCTATGTTTTAAAGTCTGTACTGCCTGTTGGACAAAGAGAGTACACAGCTACAACTGTGACTAAAGTAAAGGCATCCTATCACAACTGCAGTGTTACTGACAGAGAAACCTCAATTTTTCCACAGAAACAAAATTTTGTTGTAAAGACACGTATCCAGAAATATCACAGAGCTATGTCGTGTGGCACATGAATTACATTAGACCACTCCTCCCCTGTGCATAACCACACAAACTAGCATTGTGTGAAGAACAAACCTAGGAAGGACTAAATAAGCAAAAATCATATGTAAACTGCTTCTTACAGATTGCATTTTTCTATAGCTATTTTTAGCTGATGGTTTTCACTCATTTCTTTTCAAGGCATAGCAGAGGCTTGCAGAATTTACTTATGATGTGCTTCATCTCACTGTGTTCTCAAAAATCTAGCTCTACTTCCTTTCACCTCATACTGTTTCTCTTTATTTTAATTCTCCAAGGGAAGTGGCATTGCTTACTACAGCTAATGTGAAGGAAAGTGGTTTATTCAATCCTTAATTTAAAAAGAATCCAAAGTAAGTCTTTTTTTTTTGTGGTCTTAATACTGCTAATATGTTTTTTTTTGTTTCAGAAAGCTGAAAGAAAACGAGACGATCCAGTGAATGTTATATTCACTTTAATATGGGTAATTAGTATATAGTAGCTCACTTTCAGATAGAACAGCTGCCTGAGTATGTACAAAAATAAAAGCGGCTGTAGTTACTTTACTAATTAGACAGTGACTGCTATTCAGTAGTCTTTTGGGATGGGAAAAACTTTAGTTAGAAATCATGCAGCACAGTGGGAGCTCCTCTGTGACTGCTGTTCTCAGAACCTGCAGTTAATAAAAGGAAAACAAAGTTTTCTGGGAAAGCACATAATCCTCACAGAGGCTGTAGACAAATAATTTGTTATAATTACAAAGGTAACTTTTATCTTTTACTCAACACCCAGGAAATCAGAATACTAGCTTCATTACCTGCCTGAGGTCTTAGGTTATTTCATTAACGGTGTGTTTAATTAAAAAAAAAAAAAACTCTTCCATTGCACATTTTAGCCTTAATACCAACTTTTATCCTTATTAAATAGTAGTTTCACAATTCAAAATATCGACATAAATGAGAGTCACCACTTAAAATTACTGTTACCTTACTGCTACTGTAGTTTGCAAACACAGCCCAAAAGAGATCTGCTAACACTTTCTTAACATACTGGGCATCGGATATGCGACAGCAAAACTCTAAGGAACATTTTACCCATTAAGTGTTTCACCACAGACCCCTAAAGCAGTTCTTGCAGTCTAAATCATAACCAGAAGCACCAGAGAGTCCCGCCCATCCTCCAACGTGCCAACTCTTTGGTGTAGAGCAGCATAAGCGAGTGATAAAATCCCGCGCGATTCCACATCCATGGTGGTCCCGCACGTCCCGCGGGAGCTCTGCCGGGGACCACGGCGTCAGAGCTCCTGGCAGGGAGGGAGATCCGAGCTGGGCTCCCCCCGCAGCCGAGGATTTACTGAGCTTTGGGAAGGAGCAAAGCCGTAGCGAGGGGCATTCCCCACCGCTCCCCAGGGCGCATCAGCCCTCCCTGCATGGCCAAGAGAGGGGAAATGTGTGATTTTGTGGGATTTTAAAGTACAAGCGCCTTGGCCGCCAGCAGCCCTGAGCAACAGCGCGGTATCCGAACTGACCAAAAACTTTGCGGGTTATCCCGGCTAATAACCCCTCGGCACCTCCCGTGCCTTCCTCTCTGAATCACGAGGGTGTCCCTCCAGAATTCACGGAAAATGCCGACCAGGAACGAGAAGAAAAGCGGGACAGGGACGGGGACGCTCCGCGGCTCAGGGCGGGAAGAGCGAGCGGCCACTGGGGCGCTCGCCCTTCCCGCTCCCTCCCATCCTGCCCGTGTCTTCTCACAGGCCCTGGCTCGGGAGCGGGGCGAAGCGCCCCGACAGCCGCCGCCGCCTGTCCGCTCGCCCTCCCCCCGCTCTCAGGACACTCACGGCCGCGGGCGCCGGATCCACCGCCAGCAGGGAGAGCCGCTTCCAGCGGGACCCGCCGCAGGTGAAGATGACGGCGCGGATGAACTCCCGGCCGCACAGTTTCACCCCGTACGCGTCCCCCTCGCCCGCGGGCAGCGCGGCGCCGGGACGCCCCGGCGGCGGTGCCGCACAACCAGTGCCACCGCGGCGCACAGCAGTCGCAGCCTGGGCCGCCCCCATCGCGCCGTCCCCGTCCCGCGGGCGCGTTCCCAGCAGACCCAACACCCGCCCCCTCTCCCGCGACCGCGGCGTCCAGCCAGACCCTCTGCCCGGCCCGCCTTTTATGCGCTGCGGGCGGCGCTGAGTCACCGCCCCGGCCCCGACTCCGTGCCCCCTCCCCTTCCCCGGTCCCGCCGCTGCCGTCTCCCGTCAGGCGGTCGTCGTGCCTGAAGCCGGCGTCGAGGAGCCCTCGGGAAGCGCTGCTCCGTGTTCCTGCCCCTTGCTAGCTCTCGCGGCTCTTCACGCAGCCGGTGAAGATGCACCTCACCTTCGGCCTCCTGCCTCGGGCTCCCGGTCCCCCACCGACCCGGAGACACACTCCATCCCCTCCGCTGGGTCTGCACCTCAGTTTTTCCTGTTTGTGGTCAGGTGGTAGTTGCCAATGCCCTCTCGAATTGTTCTGAAAATGTGAAAAACATCAGCTCAGCTGTTTTTTTCCCTAGCAGGTCTCGTAACTACTTCTACATCCTAAAAATGCCTGACGCAAAAAGAAGCAAGTAAAGCAAAATAAATGCTCTTCCACAGGATTACTTCAGCTGTGGATACTTGAGGTGGGATTTCATAGCCTGGATTCCTCTCAAGTTTGTTGTTCTGGAGGCCTGAGTTCAGTGGCAGCCATAGGCACCCAAGTGTCAGAGATACCTTGGCTCCAACATGTGTGTCCTGGGGATGTGGAGTTCCACAGCTGTGTGTCTCACCAGCAGGCCCCAGCAGGCTCTCACTGGCAAGGGTGGTGTTCTTCAGACCACCAGGCAGAACTATGCACCCTGTGAAAGTAAACCTTGCTTCGGGATTTGTTTTTTCCCCCCAGCACAATAGGATATGAAGTGACTGCTTTTATAAAAAGTCATACTGTGGAGAAACAGGAAAGTTCATCTCTCTTAAAATATTTTGAAGCTGTTTTCTGTAGATCCTTTTGCATAAGGGCTGTGCTTTCTATCCCCAGAGTACTCAAAACTCAATCTAGAAGGAGGGCAAAGAGAAGACCTGCATCTGCAGACTCTGCTGTGTGTACAAAGGTGACTGATTCACTTGTGCTGGCAGTGAAGACATAGTCTCCAATCACCTCTTCAAGGAGGACTTGGTGTTTTACACTGAGTTGGATCTAGACTGAGGCTGTGCAGGTCTAAAATTGGGAGCAACCTGTGAAGTTGTTATTGTGGTCAAACCCCAGCCACCCACCAAGCCCCATACAGCCACTCACTCCCTCCCCCACCAGCAGGATCAGGAAGAGAATCAGAAGGGTAAAAGCCAGAAAACTCATGAGTTCAGATAAAGACAGTTTAATAGGGAAAGAAAAAGTCCTACACACAAGCAAAGCAAAACAAGGAAGTAATTCACTGCTTCCCTTGGGCAGGCAGGTGTTGAGCCATCTCCAGGAAAGCAGGGCCCCATCGCACCTAACAGTCACTTGGGAAGACAAACGCCATCATTCCAAACATCTCCCCCCTTCCTTCTTCTTCCTCCCCACTTTTTATACTGAGCATGATGTCATACGGTCTGGAATATCCCTTTGGTCAGTTTGGGATCACCTGTCCTGGCTGTGTCTCCTTCCAACCTCCCATGAACTCCCAACTTTCTCACCGGTGTGGCAGCATGGAAAGCAAAAAAGGCCTCGGCTCTGCGCAAGCACTGCTCAGCAATAACAAAAACATCTCCATATTATCAACCCTGTGTTCAGCACAAATCCAAAACACAGCCCCATACCAGCCATTGTGAAGGAAATCAACTCTACCCCAGCCAAAACTAGTACAGTTGTCTACATTTGACCTTCCTTTTTAGTCCAGTCTTTTAAGTGTTTAGACAGTGGTATGTCTTCAACATAGGCACCATCATCCAGATGTTAGTAGGATGCAGTCTGCAGAAGTGAAGCCTGCTAATCTGAAATTCCTGAAGAACAAAACCTTGACCTGTTTTTCCCTCATTTGAAGTCTTACCTACTATTCTGTTACAGACAAGTTGTGCAGAGATAACCACACCTTGCATTTTGAGAGAGCAGCACCTTGATTTTGTCTTGTGACTTTTTCTGAAAATACCCATCCCATTAGTGAACTTACTGATTGTAAGCAGTGTTCTAGATAAGGGAATTGTTTTCAGTGACTGGAAACCTGAAGTCGTGCAAAAGCACTACCAGGACAAGGCAATAAGGAAAGTGCCTCCTGAGCTGGGCAGTGACTGGTCTGATGACTCACTTAGCTTGTAAACTAATATAATTGATTTTATACCCTACTTTGATGCCCATGTCCAATATTTTTTCCAGTCTCTAAAAGCAGTAAAATGTAAAATGTGTCTATCTCAGAGTTTTTACCAGGAAATTTCAAGAGAAGTTCCCAGATAGCAGGCTGATTTGTCAGTCTAGCTGGAAAATTCCTGACTCTCCACATGCTTCAGTTTCAAATTTAACTGGACCATCAGTTACTGTGGCATCCCATCTAGCTCCCCCTACCCAAAGACAGACATTATGATGGGTTTTTTTTAAGAACACCACTTTTGCAACTATCTGAAGAACATAACCTCTAATGGCAGCTGCTAAATGCAAGCACTTAAAGAGACTGGAAAACAAATAGTTCACAACAGCTATTCTGACCTCACTGCTTCTTCACAAGGGCTACTGAATGTAAAAGACAATACTTTCTGTGCTTTCCGTTAAGCTTGTTGGTATTTGATAGAGCACGAGCTGTCAAAGAGACCTTGGAGGGAATACCTTTCCTAATGCCTCAGGGAAGCCTCACTGCAGCATTCTTCATCACTCTTCCTGAAAAGCATAGGCTGTGAATGCTCTCTTCATAGGATTAAAGACTGCAACACCAGGCACCGAGTTAATGAGTTTTATTAAGGATCATATCTGAACGAGCTGGCAGTAGCTTGACATTGCTTAATGTTACCATCCTTAATGCAGTTTCATTAGTAGGGTGCTCATGTATTGTGCAGTACGTCCAATATACTGGCTCAATGCAAGTATTTTGTATCTTTCAGTTTCCTAAACCAAGGTAAAAATAATTGTACTATTTCTCCCCTTCCACTAAATTATTAATCTGTTGTGCAATAGCAAACTTTATAGAGGGTAGAAGATGTTTCACAAAAACTGCTGGCTAAAATGGCTTTAACAATACCTCAATAGCCTTGAATACCTTGAAGACTTATTCCCATGTTAAATGACAGACAATCTACACAGAAAATCAGTGCTAGGACAGAAATGTACAGACTTAATTAGATTTTTTCCAGAGACTTTGTTTCAAATTCATGCAATTCACTACTGCAAGAACAGTTTTTGAAAGCAGCTCAAACATGAATTTAAAATATTTCTTAAATTATTTCTTATTTGCTTAGCACCACACAGGATTCTGTAGGAAAGGAAAAATACCACTGTATCCATGTGATTGGTGATCAAGCACCAGCATTATCCAGTTATCTTCATTGTGGGGTTTAGAAAGAAATTCAACCTTAAGAAGCCTTATAATTAAAAAATTAAGAGATCCATGCATTATTGAATAATGAAGACTAAGACTGATTAGTCTTGCAAATAAATAATAATGCAGAAACAATCTTTTTTGTATATGTCCATGTAAGTGCTTTCCTTTTCTACTTTTAAAAGCAGTGATGTGCTGTCACAACCATAAAATAACTTCAAAACATTTAGAAAGGGGCTGGAATTTTCAACTTTCCCTATTGTAAGGAAGGGTACCAAACTGGATTCCCCAACTGGCTTTGTTTGTTTCTCCTCAATACTCATGTATCCCATCAAAATCAGATTAACAAGAGAAGTGTGGGGCAGGCACTTGGGGCTCACAGATGGCACGCACTTTATTGAGTTCTGTAAATAAAATATATCCATAATTAGAACACAAGGAGTTTTGACATCCTAATCATGACTGACCTGTCAGTTTCCTGGAATAATCCTGCTCCAAGTGATACTGACTCAGGATACATGGTTATCAGACATTATAATCAGGAAAACCAACAGGATTACGGTGCTAAAACTAGTGCCCTCAGGCCAGAACAAGGTCCCCCTGGAGTTACTCTCCTTTTTTTCCCCCGTGATTCATGGAAACAGAGACAGTTGCTGTGATATATTAAAGTAAGTCTAACAGCTGAGGCCAGCTAAGCCCAAATGACAGAAAGGAGCAGGATGTTTTAGGTGTTTTATTTATTTCCCTAACAGGTATGATGATTATGGGCAACTTGTGCTGTAAACATCTATTTCCCTTTAGTAAACCTAGTCACAGGTAAACTTTCCTGCTTTCTTTCATTGTTCTCTGAAGGAAATCATACCATTAAACCACTCTGTTTCTGTCACTATGTGACCGATATGACTGGGCATGGCACATGCAAACATTTTGATTAATACACTGGCAGTAGAATAAACACCCTGTAAAGAAGAATGAGCATCTTCAAAACAAAAGCATGCATTTATCAAGGAAAAAAAAGCAAAGCTAACAGTAAAAAAATAAAGGCAATAAAGGTGACTAACTCTTAACTTCTTGATGATCTTTGGCACATTCTATGTAGCCCATTTAAATCCATTTTTGGATTTGCATTATACTGGCCTGCTTAGAGCCTGTATTTTTTCCCTTACAAATTTGGTAACTTTCACTGATACTTACTGTGTAATGCTGAATTAAACTTGCCCCATTTCTGTCACTTTTTAGTGTGGAGTCTTGCAATGGATTAACACTACTGATCTAAGTTCAAACTTTGGGAGAAAAAAAATAAAATCAAATTTGGCTAGGATGGAGTAATAAATAGTGACCTCATTATCTCCTAGAACTGCTGTCTAGGCCATTATTTTGCTTAGCCTTCTTCCTTTAACACCACCTTTTGATCCAGCCAAAGCCCCCCTGTGGGGCTCAGAGCCCCTTCCTCGTGGCTCACAACATGGCCACCACTGCACAACAACCAAACAACAACTCATCTCTTCCCGTGAGCTTGTGGGATGTTGACATTTTTCCAGGAGCGCTCATTGGACAGAACTCCAAAACTTCCAGGGGTTTCCACCCCTTGGGGTCTACCACTTTCCTTAGCCTCTGGGGGAAAACAAGATTCAAACCACTACAACACCATAGCCAGCAATATGTCACAAACACACAGATACTGATTCCTAATTCACAGTGCATATAATTAGGGTATTTCCTAATTTTCTAGGATTTGTAAGTAAAACTGTTGTATGGGCTATTAATACTGCTCTCTTGTGGAAATGTCTTTCATAGGTTTAAAAGATGAGTTAAAAAGCACAGACAGAGACATACAAATACCAAAACAAGATGGTTTAATTGTTTTACTTTCTTGGAAGAAAGAGTATCAATAGATGACAGAGATCAAAATGA